ATACTCAATTTATTAAAAACATAAAGCATTCTCTGCCCTATCTCTATAAGATAACTTTTATTAAAGGAATAGAATTTTATAATTATTTTATTATATAAAATAAAAAATAACAATTGTGTGCCATATAATTATAATGTATAGAAGAATCTTTGACAATAGTAAAATATTTTTAGAAGAATTTTCTGTGGTTGTTATGCTTGTAATTAGGGTGATTAAAATCCCGACCAACCTGATCAATCCAATGCGAAATAATTTAATTTGAAGCAATCTAATGTCTAATCGAGTTGTAAAATTTTCAAACCGTAGGTATTGGGTTGATATTAGGTTGCTATTATTTGAACCCAACCTAACCTAATGAACCCGATATCTTTTTATTTCTTAAATTTAATATGATTGTTGAATTTCTATTATTATATATATTAGACAATTACACTATCACGTACGCTCTTCTTATACACATATTTTTAATATATTCACATCTCTATATAACTCATTGTATATATGTTCAGTAACTGTGAACCTATATATGTAACTTGAGAAAATTAATTGAATGTGATATATGTAAAAAATATGGATACGTTGTATCAAACGGTTGATGATGAAAAAGAAATGATGGATAGAGAAATAACATATTAAAAGTTAGAAGAATTTTTTAATATACCAAAGTATCAACCCGACTAACCCGATCAACAACTCCGTTTTGGTTTGGGTTGGGTTGCACTTTTGTTTGGATTGGATTGAGTTTAGATTTTTCAAACCGTAAGCATTGGATTTGATTGTTCAAATGTCTTCAACCCGATCAACCCAACCCATGAGCACAACTATTGGGTTTTACATAATCATAAAATTAATATAAAACATATGTTTCAATCAGTATTAATGTGTCATTCTATATTGATAAAAACAAAATAAGACGTTTTTTTGTTTACGGGTAGAAAGTACAAGTATGCAAACATCTATTCGGATTAACAAAACCGGAAAACCAATTTGGGGCCAAATTAAACCGAAGTTGGCATGTTTGGTTCGTTTTGATTCTATATTTTATGAAAAACTAGTTTTCAATTAGCTTCTAGGCTTTTTTAAAATGGGATTTTTCTTCTAGTTTGGTGTTGCCTCACACTGAACCGAAGCGAACAAATGAACCAGAAGAAATATAGTAACAAAAGCAAAGATAGTCAAATTAAGAGGATTATTTCAGAGATTTTTTATGTCGATGCGTCTGTTGTCGATAATGATATGATAATTATCTGATTTTGCATGTGACAATGATTTGATAAATTGAAGACTTTTTATAATGTGAATCATCTAATAATTATGTGATTTATGTTGTGATAATCGAAAACCAGCGATGATCACGTCTAGATTCATCACTCTCTATGTTCATTATGTGTTTTTGTTGTTATAATAATGTGATAATTATTTGATACCGGTTAACAAACTTTTTGTATATAATTTTAGAGATAAAGATGTCATGAAAATTACAGATAAATATGAAATCACATAATTATTCTTAATTAGTTTATTTTCTTTTAATTTTGATTATGGATTAAATAATTTTGAGATCCATAAATATTCTCGCATTCTCGTAAAATAGGAATGTTCTCGTTTAAGCTTTTATATATATAGGTGGAGGTTCAAACGAGAACCCCTGTGATTTACGAAAACGCGAGAACAACCCAATAATCTCAAACTTTTTTAATTAATAAATTAACTTTTATTATATATAAATAACTTAATAAGGACAATAATGTAATTAAGTAATTTTTATAATTTTTATTTTATTTTAATTAACCATAATTATCTTTTGACGTTCCACGTTTTACTCTTGGTAGTTATCTTCTTCTTCTCGTTAACATCTTTTCTTCATATCACACCTCTATCACATAAGTATCACACTCATATCATATGATTATCACACCCATATTATATGATTACACCAAAATTTGAACTTATCAACCAAAACGATAACCCAAGTGATGTATAACAGTGATTATCACACCCTTATCACATGATTATCACACCCAAATCACATGATGACACCAAAATTTTAACTTATCAACCAAAACGTTAACCCAAGTGATGTATAATGGTGATTATCACACCCCTATCACACTCATATCACATGATTATCACACCCCTATCATATGATTATACCAAAATTTTAACTTATTAACCAAAACGATAACCCAAGTGATGTATAATGGTGATTATCACACCCCTATCACATGATTATCACACCCATATCACATGATTATCACACCTAGTATAATCCTAACCTATTTCGTAACCGTTTTACTAGATAATGATAARACTAATGATAATAATGAGTGTTTAAAAGATAATGATCGTGTTTAAAAGATTTGCTGATATCATTTCCATTATTACCCTTTTAATTTTAAATTTTTTTGAATCTTTTTAAATTTAAATTTAAATTTTAAAAATCTTTTAATTTTATTTTTAATCACAATATGAGGTTATTGGATTGTTCTTGTGTTCTCGTAAATCACAGGGGTTCTCGTTTGAACCCTTCCCTATATATATATATATAATTAAAACATTTAGTACATGTATTAAAATAATATTTATTTCTCATTTTAAAGTTTTTTATTAGTGGCAATATAACAAAAAAAAATTTCTCTTTCACATAATTATTTTATTGAGTTCTCTAAATTTGGAGAACTTGACACTAGGGGGGGTGTATCGGGCGGGTCGGACGGGTTCGGGTGGGAAAATCAAAAACCTGATCGGATTTTGGATATGAAAATCAAGCCCCAAATTCTAGATTTCAAATTGCTTCAGGTTCAGGTTGGTCGCTTTTCGAGTTGATGTCGGTCGCTTTTCGAGTTGACGATGAATTCAATTGATAAATCAATAGTATACTTAAAAATTAGAAAAAAACACGACCAACTAAGACTTTTAGAATTTTCAAAAGATAATTAGATAAATAAGTATATTTATATAGTATTTGAAATATATATGTATATATATTTCGGGTTTTCAGATGGCCAAAAATCAAACCCAAGCTGAACCCGAATTTTCCCCAAAAAGTCGGTTTTTGGGTTTCCGAATTTTCGGATTTCGGGGCATTTGGGTTTTACCTTATTTATGGTTCGGGTTTGAATTCAGATTTCAGATAATTCGGATTTTGCACACCCCCTACGTGACACACTCTCTTTTACTTTCTTCATCTTGAAGAATTTGTTCGAGTTAAAAATTTGCTAAAAATTCCCAAAAAAACATTATTTTATTTATTTTTAAAAAATCTATTAGAAATGATTTTAAGGATAGAATCGTAAATTAATCATTTACTTTTAAAAATGAACAGTTATTTAACAATTAATTTTGGGATGAAAGATATTGAAAATAGTAACAAATACCAACACTTTAATTGAGCACTTGCATGAGTGTCTTCTTGGTCATTTGGCAATCAAAGGATGAATTATAATGTTTTGTTATGTTGTTTCCCACTTTGTTTTTTGTTTTAGTGCACAAACTAACAACACTTTACCATACTTTCTTTGCTTTAATAATCACTTAACTTTCTTTTAGTAATCTTTCTAGAAATGTTGATAGAAACTGGTTTGAGCTTAACTCTAAAGGTCAAAAGTACCAGGAGGTCCCAGGTTCAAATTCAAAGGGGAATAAAAATCCCCTTGTGGGTACGAAGGTTAAAATGCGGTGACTTCGGGATATCTACAAAGCAGGTGGTTGCCTTGGGATTAGTCGGCTCGCATAGTGGGTTGGATATCCAGGTTAATAAAAAAAAACTATAGATACACATAAGTCAGGGTTGAGTTCATGTAAGATCAAACTATTTTAGTGAGATCAATTTTTTACACTTGAAAGTTTATAACAAAACACTGTGAAGGTAAAAAAAATCTGAACCTTCACAACAAAAATACTGTGAAGGTTACCTTCATAGTGTTTATTGTGAAGTTTCAACTGTAAAAAAATGGTGTCACAAAAACAAGTTGGTCTCTCATGTGATCCTAAGTCTAAGTCCCAATGACTTGGAATAAAGACAAGTTTTAGGCAACACCTTTAATTGGTGGTAAATTGCCCAATTTTCCAAATTAGTCCAACTTCGTATCTTTCCGGCATACTCCTTGCTTATGGGGACATTGATCTGAAGCTCGAGTGCGGTCCGTGAGCCGTTTTTCTTCTCTACGATGACGAATCAATTGATTTAATGGAGGCATAGAATATTTTTTTCTAACATGTGCGGGATGCGCTACATATGTAGGATTTTCAACATATCTTCTCAAGGTGCATTCAGTATGCAGGATATGACAAAATATAACAAAACAAAAAAAAACTTGTTAGCCCATGTTTGATATTAGACTGGGACAGAACATAATTGAGCAAGACAAAAATGCACCAAGAATTTGATCACTGGATCGTGCTAACTCCATATGAATCAGTAAAAATCCGGCTCACACCCGGTCTTTGGACCCTTGGCCCGCTTAGAAGTGGATTCAAACCACTGACACAAGGAATTTCGCCCCATGAAAATAGGTGGAGTTAAACCAATCCTCGATACTAATGGGACCAATCAAGCCAAATTACCTATTTGTTTGATCAACAAATCAAATTATTAATCCACATTTTGTATCAATTTCATGTAAGCATACCCATAGTGAAAAACCATAATGAACAACAAAACTACTTCACATTCCAACACAACTCCATAAAATTGTGCACATTATTCAACAATTTATTCAAATAAACTCGAACACACGTAAACGAAGTTACAACGTACCAAAAAAACTAAAAGTCTCGAGTCCAAGAACTTACATATTTGAATGGAGACTACGCATGACACCATGTAGGTATCCTTCGGTCATTATCAAAGAGACAATGAACATCATACCCGCCGGAAAAAGCTTGCCAGACTTTTTAAACCGCAAACCCGTGACTCCCAAAAGAGCAGCTGATAAACCAAGTCCAATACACGAAGCGTATACAGGTCTCATTGGAAGTTGTGTGTAAACGTAGTATAGTAATGCTGCCGATATGCCGCCAAAGATTAGAGATTTCTGGCTACCGGTCTTTAAATAACCCATTAGTCCACCAAAACCGACTAAGGCGGCAAAACCGAGTGTTAACCTTTGAGACATTGACATTGCCATCTTTTTGGCCGTCTCCACCACTATTGCCGCCCTAATTGTTAACTGAAAAACTGACCAAAAAGATAGTTGAAATATCCATCGTATATTCATGATTATTTAATGTCATTCATCATCACCACAAGGAAAACCCTAGCGTGTGTGAACACATATGAATAATTTGTAAAGTCGGTTTATATATGCATCTTCAAATAATTTTTTCCGCAATGGATTCACATATGAACCTTTCCTTCTCACATTCTCACGATATTCAGCTTTTTTATTTGAAACAACCCATAAATTTAATATTTTGTATCTCTAATACATATCAAGCAAAACAAATTTAAACTACACAAGCAACATAGTAATAGAGTTTATAAAGCACAATCGAATAGAACTGTGGAATCAAAAAGAACTGTAAAATCGAGAGGAATCGAACAGGACTTTGGAATCAAGTCGGCATTGAACAAGATTGTGGAATCGTTTTGGACATTGGAATCGACGACCAATGTTTTGGAGTGTGGAAGTGTGGAATCAAAAGAAGAACCCATTTGGAATCAATGACCAAAGTTTGACCTAATTGTTGTTTTTGTTCGTAGACCAACTAAAAGTCTAAATAGCCCACACAAAACAGAAGTCCAAAACATTTCAGTAATTGTGGCCACTATTGTGGGGGTCCAAAATGTGGTCATTAGCGGTAATTGCGATCGGTAGCATTACAACGCACATCGCCCGCTATTTTGTGTACCACCGCTAAGTGCGATGGTGCCCGATTAACTACATAGGTGTTTAGTGACCTACATAATGGTCACTGAGTTGGAAGGTTAGTATAGTTCGAAGTATAGTGGCCAAAAGAATAATAGTTACGAAGTAGGAAGTGTTGGTAACAAAAAAAAAATAGCAGTCACTAAGTTGGAAGTGTTGGTGACCAACTACTGTTGTCACTAGTGTTAAATAGTTGAAGCTCTTTACATTTTATCCATTTTTTTGAATTTTATTTATTGTATTTTATCTTATTTAAACTTTCACTTTATTGTCCTCAAAAATATTATTTTTATAGAATTTCTATATTTTGGTTAATCTATGTAATTTATTAAATATTAAAAAATAATATAGATCATGTATGAAATAAAAACTGGATATTAATAAGCTTCATATTTTGGTGTCATCTTATTTGTATTACCGAAAACTTTATAAAGATATATTTTGTCATAAAAATATTTATTTTATTATAAATTACATAAATTAATCAAAATATATAAAAGATATAAACAACTCGTTAAGGATAAATTGATCATTTTACTAGTCATGTCATGTCCAATCATGTCTTATCAAATATTGAATAATTGTTCTATCCGGTTTTATCATATTTTGGATACCAAATGCACTCCAAGGATTGTTTAGACATAAAATTATTATTTCTTAAAACTATGAAGAAGTTATAAAATTATAGGGGCCAAATTTGAATAATTTAAAACATGGATTTAAAAAAAATCCATGGCTTATTATCATATTCGAAATCACACTCTTACCGAAATCCCTGATGTCTCGTGATTTGGAGAGATTTGAAATTGAATTTTATTTTAATTTTATATTTGGTTTGAAAGATTTTCTGTATTTGAAATCCCATAAACATAAGATTTTGAATTTCTTCGGGGGTGCTTGATATATCACAAAATTTCGTAATATTGTATGTAATAATGTTTTAAAAAATGTTAAAAACATTTGTTTTGTAATAATCAGTTAATAAAAATGTAATTTAACTATTTTTATTTATTATATATATATATATATATTATAAATAATGGAATACAATTTTATTTCAAATCCTATAAACCTAATACATCAAAAATTCCAAATCTGGATCCCTTCGATTCTAAATCTCTCCATTTCATTAAACCAAATGAGCATCAAATGCTGTTCATTTGGTTTAACGGAATGTTTTTAAGTGATTTGGATATCATTGAAGGTTTTGGAATCAGAGAAATTTGGATTTGGAAGGGATTTGAAATATTTGGTTTATAGAATTTGGAATGAAATTGAATTCCATTTTTTATAAATAATTTATAAAACAAATTATAAAAATAATTAAATTATTTTTATATTAATTGATTATTATAAACCAAATGTTTTCAAACATATTTTAAAACATTATTACTCATAACTCCTATAAAATCTTGCTAAATATGAACAAGCGCCATGAGATTTCTACATCCACTTTTTTTGGATTTCAATGAAATCCCCAGATTTCAAATCTAAGCAATCTTTCAAACCAAACATGAGATTGGAATAAAATTGAATTCCAAATCCCTCCTAATTGGCTAATTGGTGAATCGCCAATCAAGTAAGAACATGTCGTTCAATCTACTCTCAAGAGAAATAACTCAAAATTTCAAATCTCGTAGATTCTTGTTCAATTAACTCTTCCTTACTCGTAAATTACTGATTAAGAGAAGAATGATGCATCAAACTTAATCTGTATCAGAGCTCATATCGGTTTCTTCTCGAATGTCATGCTCAACTACAACACAAGACTTGTTAGGTTAAGGAATTTAAACCGTCTATAAAATTGTCTGATCGTTCATTAATATTATGCCAACCGGCTGTTTGTTATATTGCATCTTATGATTTCTTTACTTGATAGCAAATGGTTCCTCTTTTTATTATGTAAAATATCAATTTGATAATCTAATATCTACCATCAATCCAGTTATCCCCTCCTTACTAGAAAACGAGCTTTTGAAACTCTTTAGTTTCATTAAAAGGGTGTTTGGTTCATAAACTGGAATTTGATGGAATTGAAATTCATCAATGAAAAATTTGAATATGAAATAATTCAAATGGAATGTTACTACGCGTTTGGTTGGTAGGAATTGGAATAAAATCTCAAAAAAGAACTGGAATTGCAATATGTTGGTATTAAATTGGCAACAAATTCTGTATCTTTTTCATATATTTTCTTTGAGAAAAGCATAAGTAATATACCCTTGATATTTTCATAGAATTTATTTGTAACAAATGTTTTAAAATATGTTAAGAACACTTGTTGTGTAACAATTAATTAATAAAAAAACCAACTTAATTATTTTCATAAACCATATATAAAATGAAATTCAATTCCATTTCAAATCTCACAAAACCAAACACACCAAAGACTCCAAATTCTTCAACAAAATCCAGATCTCTCAAAAACGTTCCACCAAACCAAAGAGCATGTACTATTTTGTAGTCCAAAATTTAAATGTACCTATTATATGAGGACTATAATTGCTAGGCACGGCAACAAGCGGGGACGGGGCGGATTTAGTAATCCCCGGTCCCCGACAGGTACGGAGATTAACATCCCGTCCCCAGATTATTTTCTGGTCAAACCCTGATCCTCGTCTTCGATCAACACCTAATTTTATATAGACACATGATAAAATAACAAAAATGCGGTCATTGACTCATTGTACTTGGTCAACTAGACATTTGTTATCATTGAGATAGCGATTCACGTACAGGGTCTTCAAAAGTGTAATGCAAGGAAACAGAGGTTAATGGCCGTTAGTCTTATTTTACGAATTAGCCGCTTTTAATTTATTGGAGTAATGATTATGATAAAAACTAGTGACATTCTTTTAAAAGTAAATCACATTTTCGTCCCTATGTGGGGTTATTAATGAAATTGAAGTTCAAACGAGAAGACAATCAACTCGTAAAAAACCCCAAGTTACATGTGATCACATGTAATACAAACATGTCATGTTGACCAAACATAGCACGAACGACTTTTCTCATGACCTTTGTCATGTTGACCAAGTCATCCGCGTGCTCTTGAACGTGTTGCATCACATGTGATTTTACTCTATAATCACATGCGATCTGTCCTTTCTCACACTTCTCACAAGTTGACCAACTTTTAACATATCCTCCATTCATATAGATACAGAGAGAGAGAGAGAACATACCTTGTGAAGAGGGTATCTAACAATGTGTGTTTTAGAGAGAGAGTGATCTAGCAATGTGTGTTTTAGAGAGAGAGAGAGAGAGAGAGTGAAGAAAGAAAACGAGGTAGGTTAGAGAGTAGGTGTTGAATTGATCGGTATTTATGGGAATATGCGCTTAGGTCAACGCTTGCACATTGCTTCTCTAATCATCTAAACCATATATATCTATGAGGTCAACATCCCAGCTTATGTTACTTATATTTGAGGATGGAATAACTTTTCAACATGTCCCAGTATGTGTTGGTACATTGAACATGACAAAAATAATAACATGACAAAATAAAGCTGAACAAAATAGGTGGAACGAAAATCGGAAAGATAGGGTTAGATAAGTAAATTACTAAACTGCACATATCAAATTAAAACCTAAAGCCTTCCACAATTCTCAACCGTCTAGTCCTGTCCCAGTTCCATCCACGTACCAAACACACCCTCCGATCATTTTACATTGTTATCTTGCTTATCATTTATTCTTTTACCAAATGTCACTAGTTTATCACCTCGCGGGCGGCTAGTTTTTCCGCTAACAGCTAGTTTTTGGACTAACAACTTACTTATCAGTTATCAATTCATTTGCTAAACATAGCCTAAGAACAAGACCTGGTCCGGTCCAAATGGGTTTGGACCAAAACCCATATAACCAAGACCCAGGTCTAAAAACCAGCCCTTGATACCAAGAAATACCATGCGAAGAACCAAGCCAAATTTACCTATTTGTAATATCAACAAATCTAGTTGTGACATCCTTTTATCAATTTTATGTAAGCATACCTATGGTGAAATGACCATAATAAACAACAAAACTGCTTCACATTCCAACACAAGAACTCCATAATATCCACATTATTCAACTATTTATTCAAATAAACTCTAACACACATAAACGAAGTTATAACGTACGAAAAAACTAAAAGTCTCGAGTCTAGGAACTTACAGATTTGATCGAGTACCATCAATGGAAACTGCGCATGACACCATGTAGGTACCCACCGGTCATTATCAGAGAGACAACGGACACCACACCGGCCGGAAAAACCTTACCGGACTTCTTAAACCGTGTACCCATGACTCCCAAAAGAGCAGCAGATAAACCAAGTCCAATACAAGAAGCGTATACAGGGTTCACCGGAAGTTGTGTGTAAACGTAGTATAGTAATGCGGCCGATATGCCGCCAGAGATCAGGGATTTCTGGCTGCCGCTCTTCAAGTAACCCATTAGTCCACCAAAACCGACTAAGGCAGCATAACCGAGTGTTAACTTTTGAGACATCGACATTGCCATCTTTTTGGGTTCTTTTTCACTATCGTCTGATGCTCCTTCACCGTCTCCACCACCACTGCCGCCCCAATTGTTATCACCTCCTCCACCACCAGTGCCACCAACGTCACCACCGCCACCAGTACTGTCGAGTGGGACTTCGGTTCCTTCTACAAAGTCAACAGAAAATGCAGTTGGAACTTTTTCAGGAACCACATTGATATTGAATCTTATCACACTGGAGAACCGGTTTCTAGACTGCTGTTTGATGTCAACTGGACGATATAGCAACGGGTTTGTAATGATGGTTGAATCTGTGGTGCCAACTTTATAGCAAGAAAGACAATTCTGCCTTTGGGTTCGAACTCGGGGATGATATTGAGGAAGCAAAAAGGAAGACTGGGAAATTGCTAAAAGCTCTCCTGTGCTGACCATAATGATGAAGCCTTGAGGACAAGAAAGAGTAGTAAAACAAACAGCATATAAGAAAACAAAAGCTTTACATATGTGATGGGAGCTAGTCCTTTGAACATGTATATTTAGTAGTATAATCATGAATTTGTTGGAGGGTTCTTTTTTTTTTTTAACAGAGCTAAACCTGGATTTTCATACTTGTAAAATGTTAAATTGGTATGGATTTTGTTGCGAATTAACATCAAATGTTGCTTGTTTTCAAGTTTAATGCCGTTTTTGATTGATTTTTCCCCCTTAAAAAGTAGATTCATTTGGTTTGGCTATAAAATGAATACATGATCGTGACTGTTGTTTATTTGAAAGCATGAAACTTTTTTTTTAACCTGGATATCCAACCCGCTATGCGAGCCGACTAATCCCGGGGCGACCACCTGCTTTGCAAATAGCCCGGAGTCACCGCATTTGAATCTCCGTGGCCACAAGGGGATTTTTATTCCTCCTTGGATTTATGAAAGCATGAAACTTGTGATAAAGAGAAACAGGAAATTGGTATAAAGGAATTGATAGTTAAAAGCTATATCGGGTAGATGTTGAAAAATCGATTCTTCTTCTGACACCAACAATGGAAGGCCAACTAAAATTTGGTTGCAGAAGAACTAGATTTATAGATGATCTTGAAAACCAACCTAAATGAGTTAAGCATCTAAACACCGATCCTTTACTCGACTAGGTAGCAGTTACAGATGAACTAGGTTTGCCCATATGTGATCTTGAGAACGAACCCATTTGAGCAATCTCTCTATATCTTCAGCCAATGCTTCCAGTAGGGCAGTTCAGACTTTTGGATCTAACCAAAATTCGTTTGTCTAATCGGTCTAAAAGGTAACAGTTAAACCATATTTAATCATGAGGATTCAATGATCATTTTATCATTATTCATTAGTTTCTCAAGTGTTCCCCTAACAAAATTCCATATACGACCCCTTGTCCTTGGCATAAGTAATTGTGTATGCCGACACTTTATGCTTACCTAGAACTTGTATACCCACCAATTTGGGCCAACGGTGCCTGTATTACTGGTAGAGCCCAATCTCCCTACCCTAGCGGTCAAGGGCTAAGAATTCAAATATCATCAAAGATGAGAAGTGTGAGTGAGTATTTGTTGTATATAAATATTATATGCTTCTTAAAAGAACTTGTATACCCTATAGTCCAAAAGAAAAGCCATATTTTAACATTGACAAGAATAATCGATTTCTCAACATCCATCTAATATAGCTTTTAACTATCTATTCCTTTATACCGATTTTATATTTCTCTTTATTACTTCAAAGAAACAACTCCAACAATCATGTATTTAATTTTATAGCCAAACCAAATGAACCTACAATTTAGGGAAAAAATCAAAAACTACATTAAACATGAAAACCAGATACATCCGATGTTACTTGGCAAAAAAATCCGTACCAATTTAACATTTTACATGTATGAAAATCCAAGTTTAGCTCTATTTGAACAAAAGAAGTTGCAATACTTTCTCAGTCCAATAGTTCAATCATCCAGCAAATTTATCAGTATACTACCATATCATACATGTTCAAATCAACCAAAACCCCTATCAAAATGTCTAATTGAACAATCCTTTTTTTGGTCGATGCAAGTAAGAAAATCGAAATCGAGCTTCTTTTTTTCTGTGCCAGAACAGTTCAATCATCCAACAGATTCATGATTTATATGCCAAATCTTATATTCAGTTCAACCAAAAGCACTTCAAAGTGTCTAATTCAATAATACACGAGTGTTTTTTTTGTGGCAATTTTCATATCTATTCAAATCAAAACACGAACTAGAACCAAAAATTCTACAAACATTCGAAATTTAAATCGATCTGAAGATGACTACGAATGAATTACCTTGCTTAGGTGCAGAAAAACCCTAGTTCCTTTCTCTCCTGCGATCGATGAGAACTATGGCGGTTAAACAGACTCCAGAATCCACTATCCAAATTCCAAATAATGAGATGAAGAAGGCCCACATTGTTGGGGCCAAAAGCCCAAGTACTTTATTGGGCTAATTAATTTTTGGAGTTCATTAAAAATAGGGGTGTTCAAAAAAACCGCCGGACCGYTCAAACCGGTCGAACCAAGTCAAACCGGACCGTTTTTGGCGGTTTGAGCGGTCTGGCGGTCCGGTCTGGTTTGAAAAATAGCCGAAACCGGGCGGTCTGGTCGGTTTGCGGTTTAGACTTTTTTTTGGGCGGTTTGGACCAACCC